CTCTCGCTCCACATCTCCCTTACTATTAACGAGACCGTATACCTTCTTCCTTCTTCCTCGATGATCCCTATCCGGCCTTTCCACTTCCACATCCGTTCTCAGACAACTTATTCCCTTCCGCCTATACCCCGAGTTTGCACCAATTTCCTCCTCACCTGCTTGATTACCCCCCCTCTCCCCCTCCCCCGGGTCCCTCCACCCTCTTCACCTCCCCTTTCTTTCTGTGCTCTAAATCCACCGCGATCTCGACCTCCCCCAATAAACCGTTGATAAAATGTCACTAAAAAAAAAAACTATATTTACATCTCAGCCACGGCTCTAATCCAAACATCTACTCCTATCATAAGCAGCCCCCCCCTCCTCCTCCTCCTCCTCCTCCTCCTCCTCCTCCTCCTCCTCCTCCTCCTCCTCCTCCTCCTCCTCCTCCTCCTCCTCCTCCTCCTCCTCCTCCTCCTCATACACCCCGGCCTAAATCAAGCTCCCTCACCCTCACCCACACCCAGCCCGCAGGTGATGAGGAGCAGGAGCACCCCGCCCACAGTCTAAACACTTTCCGTCACACGCACTTTGTTCCGGGCCTCCTTCCTGTCTGAATCGCATGCACGCACGTATGCACACACGCACTTATGTATGCACACACGCTCCGCTGGCTGCCGTCCATGATTCCCCCATCCAAACACACAAACACATTACATTTAGTCTAATACTGTAAGCATTTTTAAAACCATAAAATTTTCCAGTACCTCCGTGTCTTTCCCAAAAAACCTTACAACCCCCCCTTTTACAGAACGTACACAATACGAGGACGCGCGCGCGTGTGTCCTATAAGGAGGTAACAGGGATAGGAAATGAAGCCCGTGGCCGCTCCCCCCCCCCCCGCCCCCCTCCTCGCCCGGAAGGATCTTCGCCACACAGGTATGTAGTCTGCCCGGCCAAGAGGAACTGCTCCCTACAACCACTGCGGCCACATGTTCGTACTGGGCTTGACAACGTATTTACTTTGTGGGAATGCATAGCGAGACGGCGCTGGAGCTCCATGCCATCGAAAATGATATATAGAGAGAGAGGTATTGACAGAAAGCTATATATATACATATATATATACATATACATATACATATATATACACATACATATATATACACATACATATATATACACATACATTTACATATACATATACATACACATACATATACATACATATACATATACATATACATATACATATATATATATATATACATATATATATATACATATACATATATATATACATATACATATATATATATATACATATACATATATATATATATACATATACATATATATATATATACATATACATATACATATACATATATATATACATATACATATATATATACATATATATATACATATACATATATATATACATATATATATATATACATATACATATACATATACATATACATATATATATATACATATACATATACATATATATATATACATATATATATACATATACATATATATATATACATATACATATACACATATACATATACATATATATACATATACATATATATATATACATATACATATATACATATACATATAAACACACACACACACACACACACACACACACACACACACACACACACACACACACACACACACACACACACACACACACACACATATATATATATATTTAGAGAGAGAGAGAGAGAGAGAGAGAGAGAGAGAGAGAGAGAGAGAGAGAGAGAGAGAGAGAGAGAGAGAGAGAGAGAGAGAGAGAGAGAGAAGAGAAGAGAGAGAGAGAAAGGGAAGGAGGAGGAGAGAGCAAGAGAGAGAGTTGGAGAGAGATAGGGAGAGAGAGGGAGAGGGAGGGAGGGAGGGGAGAGGGGGAGGGAGAGAGGGAGGGGGAAGGAGAGAAAGAGAAAGAGAAAGAGAAAGGGAGAAAGAGAGAAAGAGAAAGAGAGAGAAAGAAAAAGAGAGAAAAAGGAGGGAACGAAAGAGAGAGAGAGGGGGGAAGAGATATAGGGAGGGAGGGGATAGAGGAAGAGAGGGAGGGACGGAGGGAGGGAGGGAGGGATGGACGGAGAGAAAGATAAAGGGAGAGAGAGAGAGAGAGAGAGAGAGAGAGAGAGAGAGAGAGAGAGAGAGAGAGAGAGAGAGAGAGAGAGAGAGAGAGAGAGAGAGAGAGAGAGAGAGAGAAGAGAGAGAGAGAAAGAGAGAGAGAGAAAGAGAGAGAGAGAAAGAGAGAGAGAGAAAGAGAAGAGAGAGAGAGAGAGAGAGAGAGAGAGAGAGAGAGAGAGAGAGAGAGAGAGAGAGAGAGAGAGAGAGAGAGAGAGAGAGAGAGAGAGAAGAGAGAGAAAGAGAGAGAAAGAGAGAGAAAGAGAGAGAAAGAGAGATAGAGAGAAAGAGAGATACAGACAGAGAGAGAGAGAAAGAGAGATACAGACAGAGAGAGAGAGAAAGAGAGATACAGACAGAGACA